ATATGCAAATCACACAAAGCATGCAAAACAAGCCATACAGAACATAACCTTGCAAGCTATGCATATAAAGCATTTAAGTGCAATGACAAATAGTCAAATTGATGAACTGAATGTGCAAGGCACAAACAGACATGCAGCAATCATACATAAGTGTAAGGTAGGAAAAAACTATTACCTGGTCAGCTTCTTTCTAAACCAAACTTTACAAATTTCTTCTTCTTTTGTTTCCTTTGTGAGTTTGAGCAGATATCAAAACCTATCATATTCGTAAGGGTAGATCAATATTTGATCTAATTGTAATTCATAAATTAAATAACTCCCTTTAAATCTCAAATCTTCTTTAATCTCGACCCTTACATAATAGTTGGTTATCCTGGACAATTTTTCTTATTCAAACTATTTTCTTTGAAATGCTTCCTTCCTTATCTCAACCCATAGTATTACTTTACTTATTAACTGGCTATCGAAATAAATCCTAAATTCAATCACTTAATCTCTAAGCTTTCCATAGCCTTGGCAACATTCTCAATAACTTTATTAACACCTAAACTCCTAGCTATCATTAACTCTCAATAATGCTCAATTACTTTCTCAATCTAGAACTTTCAGATTTCTATATATCTCCAATCAACACACACATGTAACAAACATATATAAATATATCAATTATGTTTTAATCACCCCTTCCATTAAACCTCGCGGCCTAACCTCCTCCTGGAAAACAATTTCAGATTCGATATTTTCCATCTCCAACTTCCACAGTCAGCACACGCAACAATCAAATTTATATATATTCACTTATATAACCCCCAAAATTCTCACGTCAAACAGCCACAAATAAACTATTAAAATTTGCAAATTATAATTATATAACCCAATGGCCATTCATCTATTAAGACCACATTTAAACATTCTTTAAATTATTATTCTGTTGCTTCAAACCTTGGAACCCCTTTATTTCACGTCTGGAAATCTTCCAGATTTACTAATTCAAGTCCAATTCCCCATGTTCTTAGCTACCTTTATAATTCTGACATTTAACTAACTTAATTTAGACCTTGTAATTCCTTATTAACTCCAAGCAATTTAACACCATCATTGATTTAAGGCATTCAAATTTAATTCAGTGATCTAAAATCATTACTCAACATCTAGAATATTAAAGAATGTTCTCTCCATAACACATTGCCCTGCATATGCTTGTATCCCTCAAACTTCCAAGTTACTCAATTTCTTTCAATTTCATGAGCATCCCACGGTATCTACACACATACATATATACATATATAATAAATTTGTTAAGACAAATCTGCGACTGTGTGTGTGTGTGTGTGTTATATCTCATTTATTCCATTGGATTACTTCAACTTCACAACCACCAATATAAACTCCATTAGCTTTCGGCCAAATACAGAACAACAATACTCAAGAGCATTAGAACTCCAATCTCCAAGTGCAACCTCATCTATATGCGTGTATGCCTTCACCTTCCTCTAATGTTCCAAATTCAACCCCCTAAATCCAATTTCAAGTATAGTGTAACTTCTGTTAAGTTATATTATTTCTCAATGTATTTTAGTTAGGCTTTTTGTTATGTATTTCACCGGATCTCTAGTGTGTATATATCCCCTTTTCTCATTAATGAAAATCATCTTATCATTTTTCCACATACGGTCACATGGTATCCAGAGCCTTTTGACTTTTTCTCTCTCTTCACTTTAACCTTCAGGTCCTCGTTTTCTCCGCTTCCTCTTTTCTTCCTTCTTTCTTCTTTCTTCAATATTCTCCAAGCTCCTTCCATGGCATCTTCTGCGTCCTCCGAATATGCTATTGACCAATCCAGTCCATATTATATTCACCCCAACGAGAATCCTACTCTCGTTCTTGTCTCTCCCCCTCTCGATGGATCAAACTACCATGGCTGGTCTCGCACTATGCGAATGGCCCTGTTATCAAAAAATAAGCTCAAGTTCGTCGACGGTACTCTTTCTCGTCCCTCATCCACCAATAAATTTTTTCCGGCATTGGAGCGGTGCAACAATCTTGTGCAAGGCTGGTTGACCAAGTCTCTCACTCCAACAATCGCAAAGAGCATTCTCTGGCTTGATAGTGCTTCAGAGATTTGGAAAGATCTGCAATCGAGGTACTCCCAATCTGATATCTTCCACATTGCTAAAATTCAGAAAGAAATTTATAGTTTGCGATAGGGTTCTTTAACTGCTAGTGAGTATTATACTTAGTTGAAAATTCTATGGGACGAACTCTCAAATATTCGTCCGATCAAAGCATGTTCTTGTGGATCCACTAATAGTGCTCAAGCTCATATAGAAAAGGACTATGTGATTCGGTTCTTGAGAGGATTAAATGAGCAGTACGCCTCTATAAAGTCTCAGATCATGCTCCTTGATCCGCTTCCACCTATTAACCGCGTTTTCTCTCTTGTTTTGCAACAAGAACGAGAACTTCATCTCTCTGTTCCTTCCACTCCTACAGTTTTATTGGCTAAAGGTCCACCTCGCTATGCCAAACCGCATAATGGTCCGTCTAAACAGTGTTCATACTGTGGAAAACCTCGACACACTGAAGAGACTTGTTATAGGAAACACGGATTTCCCCCTGGTTTTAAATTTCAGTCTTCTGCTGCGGTGAATAATCTTTCAGTTCCAGACTCTGGTATTGTTCAAGCAAATTCCACTACAAAGCCTCCCCTGTTCCCCACTCCTCCATCACCGACTATCTCCACAGCTTCGGTTCTTCCTCAACTTTCGTCTGAACAATATCAACGCCTCCTCAGTCTTCTTGCCTCACCTCAGACACCTTCTTCAATTAATCACATCACCTTCTCTCCTATACCATCTTCAGGTAAATGCAATTCTATTTCTACCACTACTCTTGTTACTTGGATCTTTGATTCAGGTGCCACTGATCACGTTTGTAGTTCTTTAGCTCTATTTTCCTCTTACCACTCAATTTCCCCTATCAAAGTTAGCTTACCTACAGGTTCTCATGCTATCTCTACCATATTTGGCACGGTTACTATATCTCATAATCTGGTTTTGACTAATGTTCTGTTCCTTCCGAATTTTTCCTTTAACATCATTTCTATCTCTTGTCTAACTTTGAGTCTCAACTGCTTTCTCATGTTTTCTCGCTCTTGGTGCCAGATACTCTTACTCAATCCTTTTCTGATGATTGGTTCAGCTAGACTGCTTGAAGGGCTATACATTCTTGATTCAGATATGTCATTACCTTAATCTACCTCCCATGTTCATGTTGCTGCTACTTCCTCTGATTCAGGTCACACCCTTTGGCATCTTCGATTGGGTCACATTTCCCATTCTATCTCTTCTGTATTGCATAAATCATTTTTTGAAATTCCTTGTATCCCTCAACCCCTTCTTTGTTATACTTGCCATTATGCTAAGCAAAAACGCCTTGTCTTTCCTGTAAGCACAAGCTCAAGCAATAAAATTTTTGATATGATTCATGTTGATATATGGGGTCCTTTTTCTGTACCATCTGTCCAAGGTTACAAATATTTCCTCACTATAGTTGATGATTTTTCTCGCTACACCTGGATTTTCCTCATGAAAACTAAGTCTGAAACCAGAACACATCTTACAAATTTTTTTGCCTTTACTGAAACTCAATTCTCCAGAACTATTAAAATTCTAAGATCTGACAATGGTGCAGAGTTTTTACTCACTGATTTTTATAAATCAAAGGGGGTTATTCACCAAACCTCTTGTGTTAATACACCCCAACAAAATGGTATTGTGGAACATAAACACCAACACATACTAAATGTTTCTAGAGCTTTAATTTTTCACTCTCAACTTCCTATTTCTTACTGGTCTTTTGCTGTCATGCATGCCACTTATATCATTAATCGTCTTCCTTCTCCTATTCTACACAATCATACCCCATTTGACAAACTTTTCAATCACTCTCCTTCCTATTCTCATTTTAAAGTTTTCGGTTGTCTTTGTTTTGCCTCTACTTTCCCCACTCATCGTTCTAAATTTGATCCTAGAGCAAGAAAATGTGTCTTTCTTGGTTTTCCCACAGGGTCTAAGGCTTTCCTCTTACTTGATTTACATAATCATCAAATTTTTCTTTCACAAGATGTCATCTTTCATGAGCTTGTCTTCCCATTTAAGACTAATCCCACCATTCAGCCTTCTTCTTCAATTCCCACCATCCAATCACCATTTCCCATTCTTGATGATGATCCTATACCGTCAATTTCTCCTCCTTCTCCTTCTCTTTCTCCCCCTGCTTCATCGTTTCAACCACATAATTCTCCACTTATTTCTGTCTCTCAACCTGATTTTACATCTCAATGTAATCCTTCTCCTGTTACCTCCCATTCTCATCTTGCTCATCCCAACCTCATCATCCTCCCACATATCTGCATGATTATCATTGTGCCCTGTTTTCTTCTACTAACCAATCATCAGGTACAAGTGCTTCTCGTTATCCTTTGTCTTCTGTTTTATCTTATTCTACTCTTTCTTCAATTTACAAAAACTTTGTCTTAGCTATTTCTACTATTCCTGAACCTAAAACCTATCATCAAGCTATGAAACATTCTGAGTGGAGGGAAGCCATGAATGCAGAAATCCATGCTCTTGAACAAAATCAAACCTGGACACTTACCTCTTTACCACCCTGCAAGAAACCCATTGGTTGTAAATAGGTGTTTAAAACCAAATTCAAAGCCAATGGTGACATTGAAAGATATAAGGCTCGTTTAGTAGCTAAGGGCTATACTCAAACTGAGGGTCTTGATTATTTCGACACTTTTTCCCCTGTGGCTAAGATGACTACTCTTAGACTTTTACTCTCTATTGCTGTGGCTAAAAATTGGTTCTTACATCAGCTTGATGTTAATAACGCTTTCTTACATGGTGATCTTCATGAGGAAGTCTATATGGAGCTTCCAAAGGGTTTTTCAGCCCCTCACCCTAACATGGTTTGTAAATTATAGAAGTCCATATATGGTCTTAAACAGGCTAGCAGGCAATGGTACTCCAAACTGTCCACAGCCTTATTATCTTACGGATATACACAATCTGCCTCTGACCATTCCTTATTTTCTTAAAGCTGTCTCTTCTGCATCTTTTACTGTCATCTTGGTGTATGTAGATGATGTTATATTGGCAAGCAATGATATCTCTGAAATCACTAGAATCAAACAACTTCTTGACAAAGCATTCACTATCAAAGATCTAGGTGCACTTAGGTATTTTCTTGGCCTAGAACTGGCACGCTCAAAAGAGGGCATCTTTCTCTCCCAACGAAAGTTTGCCTTAGAACTTCTTGATGACACTGGTTATCTCAGATGTAAACTAGCTTCTACACCCATGGATCCTCACCTCAAACTTTCAAAGGACAAAGGTTCTCTACTTGATAATCCGCTGTCATACAGAAAACTGATTGGTAAATTGCAATATCTGACTACTACAAGACCCGATTTAAGCTTTATCACCCAATAACTTAGTCAATTCATGTCTGCTCCACGTGACACTCATTTGCAAGCAGCTCATAGGGTCTTACTGTACATTAAATCATCACCTGGTGCTGGTTTGTTCTTCTCTTCTGCCTCTGATCTGCAGCTCAAAGCCTTCAGTGATTCAGATTGGGCTGGCTGTGTTGATTCTAGACTTTCTGTCACAGGATTTGCCATCTTTCTTGGTTCTTCCTTAATTTCATGGAAAGACAAAAAGCAAGCTACCATATCTAGATCATCTTCAGAAGCTGAGTACCGTGCCTTAGCCTCCACAACTTGTGAACTTCAGTGGTTGCTTTATTTGCTGAATGACTTTGATGTTTCTCACCTTCATCCTACTGTCTTATACTGTGATAACCAGTCTGCTCTTCAGATAGCAACTAACCCCACATTTCATGAATGCACAAAGCACATCGAACTTGATTGCCACCTCGTTCGAGAAAAAGTGCAAGCTAAAGTCATTCACTTGCTACCTGTTAAATCATCTGACCAGCTTGCTAATGTTTTCACCAAGGCTCTTCACTCTACATGTTTTCATGAGCTCATTTCCAAGCTTGGCATGAAGAACATACATGCTCAAGCTTGCGGGGGGTGTCAAGTATACTGTAACTTCTGTTAAGTTATATTATTTCTCAATGTATTTTAGTTAGGCTTTCTGTTATGTATTTCACCGGATCTCTAGTGTATATATATCCCCTTTTCTCATTAATGAAAATCATCTTATCATTTTTCCACATACGGTCACAATAGTCATAGAACCCGAAACACACATATATAAATATATATATTACTTCAATCTCCCCTGCACACAAAACCTCAATCCATAATTCCTACTAAAATTTTTCCAACAATACAGTTGACTTTGGATAGAGGAGTAAGCCTTATTCAAACCGGTATATATATGTATATACCTACACTCCTTCAGTTCTGAAAGACCTAACATATAACCCCATAACCAGAAAGTTAAAGCTCTGTTTCGGCTCACAAAACAGAGCAAGAAATCCACATGCAACCACCATTATCAACATGCAGCTTCATATTCATATAATACACGTTTCCTCTCTCCTAATACCTCAAACCCGATGCCTATGAACCCAGAAATGACATGCTCTGTTCGGGAATTCATGAAACAGAGATAATAGTGACATGCAAGCTTAAAAACCAGTATCATTTACTTCAGTCTTGCCATATAACATGAATTCACTGATCTTTCTCTCCTTTCCTTAACTCTCTCTCTCCTCCATTGCAGCCAAACCGCGCACAAAACCGAAAAGAAAAGGGTAGGAGAATGATCAGGAGGCTTACCTGGTAAGGTTAATCTGTTTGCATATACATACGATCACCACTTCCGGCACTTCTTCGTCGAGCTCTCGTGTTTCTCTGGTCTCTCTCTGTTTTAAGATTCGGGCAGTAATGAAATGGGGAAGGAAAATGAATTCTGATGGTTATAAGGATGGAGCAACACGTGCGGGCTGTGCACATGAGGCAGTGGACCATTTTGCCTTTAATTATTCCTTATTTCTTATTCCCCCTTCCACATAATTTCTTGAATTTGTGAATCCAAAAATTAATCCATAGTATTTTATATGGATTTTCCTCATCCAATAACTTTTGTGACCCTTAAAATAATTTTCATAAAAATTTAGGACCAAAAATCATCTCCCAGCTATTTTTCGTGAATTTTCCAGGAAAACAGCCCTTAATTCTAGAAATTAATCCTTAACCCATTTTAAGGATTTTATGCCTCAAATAACTTCTTTACCTCATAAAATAATTTTCCTAAAATTTTCTAGTTAATTAGAAACCTCTAAATATTTTTCTTAGAATTTTCTAAGAAAATAACCCATTTTACTATGAAAATAGCTTTAAAATTATTTAGGCCACTTGTTGGGGAATGAACTTTTCTAAAATATTTCTAGACCTTGAAAATCAATATTTCATAATTTTTTCCAATTATAATTGGGTTATTAAATAATTTTAATGAATTTTCTTCTTTTTTTTGCCCATCCCGAGTCAGAAAATTCGGGGTCTTACAAACTTCATAGCAAGTTGTGATGTTTTTTGAATTGCGAATATTACAGGCCATTGTACAAAATTCTTGCAAAGAAATTTCAATGAGTTTCCATTCTACGGCATTGCCTCATATCACAACAAAACTAACTTCAAATGTTCATACGGCAACTTTTTCGCCCATGCTTCAATAATGCAGAGTTAGAATATGAAATCCTATATCAGTTTTTTTTCCTAACATTGATCACATATATATATATACATGCATCTAATTTTCTAAAAATTAATTTTAATTCAATTATATTATTTTAATTATGATTGAGTTGACTTCAATTCCATGATTATCATTAATCTTTAAATTACTGTCTCTCCTTATTGTTTAATGACCGGTATGTTTTTCACTATCTCCATATATTATCTTCGATGGGATGGCGGTGCTGTAGTTTACAAACTTAATTTGTTTTCAAAGAATTAAAATTCTGGCCATAAAAATTAATAGAATTGCCTTCACATATTATGATTTAGAATTAAATTCTGGATAGACATGTTAAAAGAAATAACTATAGGCATATGAAAACGCTTTTTGATCAGTTTCGAAGCATATCTTAATTTTGATAAGCCCGAAACCTGACTCATTTACTTTACTCTATTAAAAAATAACTATAGAGATTAAATCTCTTCTTCCGCTGTTTTTTTGGAGGAAAAAAATTGCCAGAGCATCTGGAGACAATTTCCTCTTTTATGCTCTTCCGATCTTTCATATAGATCTAATTATTAAGTTAATCTTAATTCTAAATATAAGATTCATTTATCATATTTATTAATTTTTTCTAAATTACCCATATTAGGAGAAGGAGGAAGGATATTAAAGAAGATGATTATTATGTTTTTAAAAAAAGTCATATTTTTTATAATTAAATAACTTACCTAAATTTCTAATCTAATTAAATTAGTTAAATAGTTATTACATTAAGGATCAGAAAACTGTTAAAAAAAAATTCCAAACAATCTGTATTGGTTGATAGAGTCAAAGGATAGTTTTAAAGTACAAACTATCAAGAGCGACAAAAGGCGGCCAAAAATTCAAAAAAAAAAAAACAAAGAAAAAAAAGAAGAAAAATAAAGTGGCTATAATCAGAACATTTCTATGGACGGAAGGGAACACGGAAAACCAATTGCCATGCTTCCACATCTCAATTTCTGAGTTCCTAGCAATCCAACTACAACTCATTCCATGGAAATCCCTGTAAAGTTCCCGAGCTTTAGAACCCAGTTAGCCATTGAGGCCAAGCTTCGCACAGATTCTTTCGGCTTTTCGAGAGTTTTTCCTTCCGATTTTCAGAGATCCATTAGCACGACCAGTAGCCACTTCTGTGACATCGAAGTAGAAAGCGAAGAAGAAGAAGAAGACGATGATTCTGTCAAACATGTCCCAGAAGAAACCTACGACACTGAGAACCAGAAGCCTGCCATGATCCCACTTCCTACCAAGCATGAGCAATTGCAACTATCAAAACCTGCACCAAAGAACGGATCAAGACTGTCAATCATACTGCTGGATCAAGGGCTTTTCACTGTATACAAGAGGCTTTTCGTTCTTTGGTTGACCCTTAACATAACTGGCCTGATTCTTGTAGCAACAGGCCATTTCCCATATGCAAGAAATAAAGCTGCTCTCTTCTCTATTGGCAACATACTCGCTTTGGTTCTCTGTAGAAGCAAGGCCTTCTTTCGTGTCGTGTTTTGGCTTGCAGTGAAGCTCCTTGGGAGGCCATGGGTGCCTCTTCTTCTCAAAACTGGTGCAACCTCTCTTTGACAAAGTGTAGGAGGCATACACAGTGGCTGTGGCGTTTCTTCTATTGGTTGGCTCGTATATGCTTTTGTTCTCACTCTTAAAGACACAGACAATACTTCACCAGAGATCATTGGCATCGCGTCGGCCATTCTTGGCCTTCTTTGCCTCTCTTCTCTTGCAGCGTTCCCGCTGGTTCGCCATCTCCATCATAATGTATTTGAAAGAACTCATCGTTTTGCTGGCTGGACAGCTCTTCTCCTCTGGGCCTTCATCATACTCACAATCTTCTACGACCCAATGTCCAAATCCTACACGAGCCACCTCTGGTCTAGGTTGATCAAAACACAAGAGACTTGGTTCACTATAGCCATCACAGTCATTATAATCATCCCATGGTTGACAGTCCGACGGGTTTGCGTCGAGGTCTCCCCCGCTTCCGGCCACGCAGCGATCATCAAATTCAATGGAGGGATCAAAGCGGGAATACTGGGAAGAATCAGCCCTTCACCACTTTCAGAATGGCACGCCTTGGGAATAATCTCGGACGGAAAGAGAGACCACATGATGCTCGCTGGTGCAGTTGGAGACTTCACAAGATCTCTGGTCTCGAACCCACCACGCCACTTGTGGGTTCGCCAAGTTCACTTCGCAGGCCTGCCATATCTGGTGAATCTGTACGAGAGGGTGTTGTTGGTGGCCACCGGTTCAGGAATCTGCGTGTTCCTCTCATTTCTGTTGCAGCCATGTAGAGCAGACGTGAACTTCTTGTGGGTGGCTAAGGGGATTGAACAGAACTTTGGGAAGGAAATCAAAGGAATGATGAGTGAGCATCCAAAAGAGAAGGTGATAGTTTATGATACTGCTGTTCTTGGGAGGCTAAATGCGTCTGAACTCAGTGTGGTCACAGCCAGGAGGTGTAATGCTCAAGTGGTCATTGTCACAAGTAATTCCGAAGGAAGTAGAGACGTTATGAATGCCTGCAAGAAAGCTGGGATACCAGTATTTGGACCCATATGGGATTCTTGATTTATGTTTGCAAAGAGTTGTTACAGTTTTTTGTTATTTTACTGAAGGGTACAATAGCAAGTAGATTCTGATAATTAATTATACTACCTCCGGTCCTTATTATAAGACCCCGTTTGACTTTTTGTTTGGTCCTAATTATAAGACCCCAATCCATT